CTTTGTTATAACAGCTGCTATGTATAATTGAAAATATTCTACGTTACTGTTTTTGTACCCCGTCCTCGGCCTCTCATGCTGCTGCATTACATGAGGAATACGTTCTTTACTATTGAACAAAGCTTACTGAATACCGCACGCCACCGAAGGGAAGTGCTTTTACACTGAATAATGGTGCTTTTGTAGCTAGACATAACTATCGGTGTAACCAATAGAAAGCTGCCCTGATGCAGATCATATTGTGATAAGGCTAGACAGTCTTTCGCAACACTTGATGCAATAAAGCATTCAAGGATCTCACTCGATCTCTGCAGGTGCCAAACATAATTTGACAGCGTTCTAACATAGTTAAATACAATAACTAACTGTTTCCGAGGTTTGCACGTCACGCTCCATTAACTGCGTTTTACTGCCTGCGCCGTAAAGCTTTCATCACAGTATTGTTTGGCCACAGCTAAAGGGTGATTTTTTAGTGGTTTTTCGTATCTGGCCTAGCACAAGTTCTTATTGCTAGAACCAATAATTATCATTTGCAAGGATACAGATTATGTTGTAAGATAGAATACATCTATATCAGATAACTGACTGACCCATTCTCAATAAACTATTCACATTGAATGTCTCGTATTAGTGTAGTCAGAATCTTAAATATTCGGTCAGGCTGGAGACTGGCAACCATTACGTGCAACCGCTTACGTGTTCGAAATAGGGCCGCTCGACTCCATTAGACCGCCAAGCCCACTCTATTGTTGAGGGCCTTCTGGGCGTTTTCGGAATACGGGATATTTGGGTAAAAACCTTAATGGGATAAAGGATACTTTGGAGGAAAATTATTGGGATATGAGATATTTATATCACATAAAACGGGAGCACATGTAGGGATACAGGATAGGAATACAGGTGGTACATGTAGGGATGTAGGGGTACGGGATATTTGGGCCAAAAAAGGGATGTGGGACACTCGGATCCTCCCCCCTCGTAATGGGGCCATAATGTTAAAAAATCAGAATAAATCCTAACGGACCATCCTTATGGCACTTCTGTTTTTGTTAATTTGTATTTTAAATGAGTTTTATTAAATTGTAATAAATAAATAAAATAAATAACGGATGTCTTTGATTAAACAACAGTTACTACCTTTCTGAAGGTAAGAAGAAGCTGCTTGGAAATCTGTACCACTCCTTTCCAACACACAAGTTGATTTCTTTGTCAGGGGGGAGGGGCTGCTCAAGCTTTGACGACATGTGGTTCAGCTCGATGTACAAATCGAGGGGAGCATGGTAGCCTAGGCAACCAACATAATCAACAAGGTTACAATGCCTCATAAACTACCTGAACTACCTCCACTTTAGTG